TAGAGATCATATTTTAGCAATCGGGCTGAATGGTGATGTGTTGGTTTTGTCACCTCAGGTTCCTGTTCCGAGTCCCGGGTGGGAGTTCTGGGTGGAGTTTGCATAATTTTCCTGTCCTTCCACAGTCCAAAAGTATGCCTGTTAGGTCAATTAAACATGCAAAATAGTGTGATAATACTTATTTTTCTATTATATTTGTATAAAAACAAGCAGAATGGCAAAAACAAACCAAACTATTGGTTTGAAAGCTGAAAAAATGTTTTTAAAAATACTAGAACATTCCAACATTATAGAAACGGACCAAATATATTTTCCATAGAGAATTCTTTATTGAAAGGGAGAGGATTATTCCCATTTCATTCCTGAGCTCTGACGGTTATCCTCCACTACAGGTTAGGCAAGTGGCATACAATGTTATCATGGTGATCAGACATTTTCCCCAAATGTAGTGATGCCACTTTCCAGTTAACCACATATGTTTGTTTTCATACCCGATCCTCCGCCCATACCTGGGCCTCCCGACTACATAGGCGCTTTCAGGAACTCCAAGGTATGCAGGATATGCACCAATTATCAGCTTCCACTGTCCTTTTAACAGATCACTGAGAGGTTTTTTTTGTACACGTTTCCTCAATTCTACCAGTCAGTGAAAGACACAATCGTTTCTGTTGACTATTTGATTATATTGTTGTCATCATATGTGACCCCACATGATTATATTGTGTGTGAAAAAGAATCCAACCAAAACAAAAAGCATATATAATATTCACTTAAACTTAGTGTTTGTGTTTGCATCTATCTACAAAACTGAGGAGCCATTCTTGTTGGGCACAATGCTATATTTTCCTCTTAAAGATGATGAATGCTGTATAGTAAAATACAAGCTGTATGTAAAAAAACTTTCCTGTCTGTTACAGAGTAAATATAAAAATGTTGCCTTTGATAAATGGAGGTCTCAATGGTTAAGCACCGACATCTTTTGAGGGACATTTTGCACCCATACATCTCCAGTAAGACCCTCAATGTTTGAAAGTGACCTTTTTTAAGAAGCAGCTGGAATCGATATTTAGATGATTGATTTTTGAGTTTTTTGTTTAGTTTTTTATTTTCACGTTTCTGTTGTCGAAAGGTGCTTCATGAATTCCTTCTTATTTACCACATATGGCAGAGAAAAAATGGAACAGATCAATTAAAAGTCTCTCGAAAAGGCTCCATCAGCTGCATAATCGCCATGTTTCTTCCTTAAAAAGCTAATTTTAAAGAGTTCATGGTAAAAGACAACCAGGGGGAGAGGATGGCATAAATAAAGATACAGTTTGAACCGGAGAGCCTTAACTCTGGGCGATGTGTAACGTAACGGGGCTGAGCAGGGGCTTTGCACAGTGATCCACATGATGCGTGGCTTCATAAGGAGGCAGATGGTACAACTCAAGCAGGAAGTGATTGACATAATGACATGGCCAACTGTGGAACGATGCGGGTGCGTGTTTGTTTCCATCAGGCCTCGGGCTCATGTGCAAGAGGGACGTCAAAGAACTGCTCTCGTCTGTGGATTCGGCAAAGTTGATGAGAAGAATGTAAAGGAAGTTTCTAAAACAATACAGCTCTCGTCCACATATGATTTTAAACCGACATCAACATGTTTTTCTTCTTGCTTATGTTCAAACGCATCATGAAAGACTCTCTGGGAAGCACTTTTTTTGCTCCGTTTAAGGGTGATGGTAGATATTTCCTGGATAAAAAAGTGTCCGGCACATTTTTTTTTCGGCTTTTCGGTCACAAGTTTCCTCGAGAGCAGATCACCTATTATAATGATCTAATCTTACCGAAGACAGAGATCAACCCAGAAACCTTCTTCAGTCTTTGTGTCATGCACTCTGTCCGAAACTCTCTCTCAGACACTTTTTTTTGCCTGTACATGTAAGAATGAGCTCATCCAAAGCAACGTATGAAGGCCTGTTTATCTCTGCATATCTCTTCCAGCTGTACTTGCATTTTTTAAATGTATGCATGTGGAAACTAGCATAGAGTACAGCTTTGGACGTGCTTCTGCTGGCTTCATGTTCCACTTCATGTGACTATTACCACATTCTTTACTGTGGGAGACGTAAACGGTGCTTCCAGACACAAGATATTTTAACCAGGTGTGAATTCTTTTTTTTTTTTTAACCAAAAGATGTTTAATGCAAAAGCTACACACTGCTTTAAAGCAGTAAAAGCTTTAAGCTAATCAAACAAACGTGTAACCTTAAAGCATGCAGAGTAAAGTGGAAATGAAACAATTCAAAAGGCCTAAAAATGGTTTAAAACTCTGGTTTTTGGGGTTTTAAGTTCTGTTACTTCCCCGCACCATGCCTCTGGCTATCTTGTGAGGACTTTTTTTTTTTCATGTTTTAGATCTATGTATGAAGTTCTATCCATATTAATGTTATCACCTCAAAGGTAAAGTGCAGTGGAGGGAACTTGATTTGGTCTTTGTTTCCCCTGGGCTTCAACTTACTTCCTACCTTTGAGGGGGGGAAATGAATTTCTAAGCTATCGTACCAGATAATGTCAGACTGGATATCTTGCCCAAATTCTGAGGGAGTCGGGTGACCCGGAGGGAAAAACTGAATCCATTAGAATGAACTTGAGCAAGGAAAATGGGTCTCACCAGAGCCCAGAACCTGCTTTATATGATCTTAAATTCTACCCAATGTGCCCAGTCAGTTGTGATACCTGCCTATTCATGTCTAAATACTGGACTGATGTCACGGGGGTGGATCTTAAGGGAGGACTCAGTCGTAAAGATTCGTGAAAAAGGTTTATTTTAACAAAAAAACGCACTCAAAAGAGTGGATGACAGGACAAGGTTAAAAAAAAAGGCTGTGGCAAAACCATGAACAAAGTATCAAATCAAGATTAAACATGGCTGTGAACACAAAGCATCAAATAAAGTAAACAAGGCTATGGCAAAGTAACAAAGATTAACAAAACTGTGGCATGGCTGTGACAAAAATCATGGCTATGGCAGAGTGCAAAAAATCAAAACCTTACGTGGCGAAGTGTGACGAAAACAGAAAGACAAAAACGCACTGGCACAGGACATGGGAAACAAGGACTTTAAATTTAAACACATGAGGGAGGGGAACCCCAGGTGTACACAATAGGTAATCAAGACATGACGACACACCAGACATTCCCCCAGACGTGACACCTGAGAGCTGAATAGCTTTTAAAAAGCAGACAAAAAACCCCACTTTATTTTAGGTAAATCAACACAAGGCGAGAGACTCCGCTAAAGTCCATATCACCCTCATTGGATGAAAAGGTAATCATTTTATCCTACAACCCGAACCTTGGGAGTCACATTTAAATCCTGTCAGGTTGTATTACTGTCACTTAGGTTACAGAGTTGTGAAGATATTAAGGTGAGGAATCGGGACCTTCTCATGCTTGAATAGTAAATTAACCAAAAAGTTGTCATGGGCTGCTCCAAGTGTATTATTCTGAAAATTAATGTGTTTCTCCCTCATGTTTACAATGCTCTTCTAGAAATGGTTCTCGGTGAAGTGTGTCCCGGTTTAAATATTTAAAAGGAGTTGCTGTGCTCTGGAAAAATGTTCCACATTTCTCCACCTCACCTTCTCTGGTTGCACCGGTCCATCTCCACCTCAGGAATGAGGGCCGTTTGGCACCTAAACTCTATGGAAACCCAAAGTCTGATAGAAAAAAGCCTTTCCTGAATGCTGATGTTTAAATTGATGGTTTTAGGAAGTGTGTCTGAGCCCACCTAGAAGACTAACTTCCATCTGAGGATGGAGGCCCCTCAGCAGAAGTTTGGTTGAATTTCCTGGAGGATTTGTTGCCGTTGCTGAACATATTTTCACAAAAGAACCTTTTTTTTTCTGTTTCAACACGCCCCAAATAGCTGACTAATGTTTCAGGCTTGCTTTTCACCTGGCAAGGGACCACCCCCTAATTCCAGTAAAGGTTTATTTGTCAAATTGATTTATTTCGCCACCAGCTTTAGTCAATCTCAGGACATACCTTAAATCTGTGCTTGGTATTTTGAGAAGGGGGTGGGATTTTCAGTAGGATTCTTAGAAGAGCAGAAGCTATACAAAAACGAATGCAAACAGGCTGGTCGTTTGACTTGTTTGACTTGGGGTTAGGGTTGGGACTCACTCGATAATGACAGTTTACTCAAATAGCCTCTGGAGATGAGTCCCACTGCCTTATCCTCCTGAGACCCAAAGAAAAAAAGTGTCTTCAAATGTCTTTTTTGTTATTTGCCATGTATTTGGACCTAAAAAAGAACATTACAATTTCAATTTTAAAAAAAAAATATTTTTCATTTTAATTTCATAGCATGTCCACTGTGGAGGACAACACGACAATTTGCATGGGGAAATAGAACAGGCTTTAGATATTTAAATAATAAAAAAGAAGATATCTTGAAAGGGATATTTACCAAAGAACTCTTAGGAAAAAAGTAAAGTTCCCAGCATGCAAAGCTATCACATGGCACATCACTGGAAAGCCCAGGATGTCCTCTACAGAACACTATAGGGCTTGATAGGGTAACTCCAGATACTTAGGGGGGGTACAGGTGGACAAAATGTCCACTATAATGGACATAAATGAATGGGCTATATTTCACCATCGTTCTCATTTTGATTAACTCTGGGTAAATCATTTGGTAGAAAGTGGAATGCAAAGTCAAAACTTTTGCATTTTTTCCCTTCCATGTCAATCAAATATATTCGAAAACATCCTTCCTTTACACCAAATATCAACTTCAGGATCTTGTTCCTCTGACACAGGTTTTATTATTCTAGTCCTCTTCCTCTTTCCTCGTGCTCGTGCGTGGGGGCAGTACTGAATGTGAGGAGAGGCTCGCGCGCGCTGAAGCGCGATGACGCGGGCCGGCCGAACCCACCTGCAGCTCGTGTGAATGTGTGTGCGCGCGCGCGCGTGCGCGTGCACGGCTCCCCTCCCGGCTCGTCACCGTGAGTCCCCTGTCTCTCTCTCTCCGCGCGCTTATAAAGCGGCCTCCGTGCGCGGAAAGGGCATAAAAACATGCCTCGTCTCTAGAGAGGCACCGCGCGTCGCTGCGATTTGGAGACGCTTTTTAAAAAAAAAGAAGAAAAAAAAAGAAAAGACGCACGAGCGCAGGAGTTTTATTTCAAACTTCACGGCTGCAGGTCGTTTGTGAAAAGCGACCTTGTTCTCAGGGGTGAGTTTTTTGGGGACTGGATTTATGTTTGTCTTGAGATTGCTTGCTTTTATCGTTCGTTTTTCTTTTGCGCGTCTAGAAATTTTTGCTGCGCATTCCGCTGGTGGATGCGCGTAACAGGACCGACTGGGATTCCACAAAGTAGCAGAGATGCTTTTCTATCGTCGTTGCAGAAAAGAAGTGAGCGTAATTTACAGCCCGATTGCTGGTGAAATCGGAAATCGTCCGCGCAAAAAAGTGTCGCTAAAACTTGTTGCCGTGGGGAATTTAACACCGAATTCGTGGTTGTTATAGGAACATGTTGTGCGGTTTTTTTTTTGTTCTCGTTATGCAAGGAAAGATGGCAGAGCAAAAAACCAAATCAAATCAACACATCTTTCTTATGCGTCCGCAAGTCCTAGGTGTTCTTCTGAGGTTGACATTTTTACACAAAAGGATGTCTCTATGGTTCTTTCATATGTTGATGTGAGGATGTGGGTTGTTTTTCTGCCTTCTTGGTAAAAATGCGTTTCTCTTTTCATCCAGAACATACATTTTGTTGGCATAATTGATCGGATACTTGCTGATGTTTAGGGGAAATAAGTAAAGATTGAAAAAAAGAGTTTGTTATGTTGCCAACGCACGCTGAATGATGAACAAGAACCCCAAAATAACTCACCTTTTTGTTTGGTTGACGCACATCTGGGTTGATCTGTGAATCGAATAGAAAAACGTGCTTTTTAGACACATTTTCAGACCTTTTTGCTCATGCTGCTTATGTTTGTCAATAGTATTTACCCCCAGTTTACTTCAGTTCTCTTTTTTTCCCCTCTAAGTAAAGTCATGCAACATGTGTGGACCCTATATATGAAAGCCACTTATAGTAAACGGGCCAAAGGGCCAGCCTAAACAAAGGGTGACATTTCTGAATCATCCGGATGCTCATTTTGACGTTACATGTATAAATAATCAGGGTAAAAAGTAGTCTATTGTGTTTTATCTCAATGCGCAAATTCTACCTCTATAAAAACAAATGACAGGCAAACTTTAAAATCAAATGGGATCTTAAGGATTTTTGCCAATTTAGGAATTAGATGTTGTGATATTAGGAGACATCAGTGGCTGGATTGTGACTGCAGAGGGTGTAAATGGCTGTGCGTCACGATTATCTAATGTTAGTCTATATGTGTGTATGTCTTTAGCGGTCTATAGCAGTTTGCACATGGCGGATGCATAACCAGTGGTTTCTAATTTATGCGTGCTCTCTTAAGTGGTGGAGTTAAGGTTGAAAAATTTAATCCCCGAAAGTCGACCATGGCCACTCGCCGAGGCACTCTAAGAAAAAGAATATAATCCCCAAAGTCAGACCAGATTTACATCACTTTCTATTTTCAGTTGCTGGTAGTTTCTGGGGGATGGGGGAGGGGGGGGGGGGGGGGGGGGGTAAAGATGAGACCGCCAGACAAGTTTGTTGTTGACACATTAATGGCAAAAAAATGATTATTCTGATGCTGATACAGTGTTTCTGGCTGCATATATATAAAAAAAAAGCTTTTAAAAAAAGCTATGCGGTACTTTTTTACGCGAGACATTAACAGAGGAAATACTCTTTTGAACGGGTTGAAAAAATAGAAAAAGGGGAAAAGAAACGAGATGTAGGTGCGCAGAGGGATTAGTTGGACGAGATTTGTACTCTCACACATCCCCAGAATCATGACGCTTTGGAGAAGTTGGATTTTTGGTCCACGATCGAGGGTTTTCCCTGTATTTCTAACTCAAAGACCGCCTTTTTCTGAGACGTTTAGAGGGGAATAAAGGACCACAAAGCGTGCACAGCTCTGTGCAGAGCTGTGTGGAGCTGCTGTGGAGGCTGAGCGCTGACCTTGGTGCTGATGCGCGCGCTCTGCTGCGCGCGCACCGCGCCGGTCTGCGCTCTCCAGACGACGCCACCTCCCACGCGCCCAAACGCAACGATTCCATTTAACTTCTATCCCCCCCCCCCCCGTTGTGACTTAGCATTCAAATCAAGCAAAGGAAAACAAAAAAAAAACGCATTGGTGAGGAGACTTGTGACAGTAAAGTTCATTTCAAGTGCAGGGACGATGAATCGTGGTGGGAAACTGACGCGTTTTTCTTTTATTTCGTTTAATTTCGTGGTCATTGTAATACCTTTGCAAATACCTTAACGTGTCTCTTCATCAAACGACTTTCTGACAACTTGAAATGAATATAAATAAGCTAAAAGCAACTGAAAAAGACCTTAAAATAGCAATTCTGTCATTGAAAATATTCCAACTTTACGTTAAAATAAGGAAATTCTTTCTCTTTTTCTCATGAATATCCATTGCCCTAAACATTGGGCTGCAGAACTCTTGTGTTATGAATTATTTATGTTAAGTAGGATTTTTTTTTTGGCCCAACAACATTCATTAAGTGCACCTGTTAACTCCCCCTCCCTCTCTTGAATTAAACGAATATTTGTTGGCCTTGGTTGGTAAAAAGGTGAGACAAATATGCTCAGAATTCAATCTATGAAGAAACAGAAATTCTTGTGACTCAGGACATGGGGCAAAATGAAGTTCAGGTGTTATGAAACTGTTAGTGTCCCCCTTTTTTTTAAATGCAAACAATGTTCCCCCTTTCAAACAGTTTGATAATTCTGATGCTGATACAGTGCATATAAACCAAAAAAAGCTTTAAAAATGGTCATTGCTATTCAGTTGCCATTTTCAAATTCAGTGTCAGTTGCTCAACACGTTGTTATTTACTGGTTGATTTGCTGGTCTCCTCCTTTATGCTCCACACATTTTCCAGAGGACACATATGTGAGTGACAGACGTTATGTCCTAATGGAAACATATGCATCTCAAAATACACATTTTTACAACATTCAAGGTCTTTTAACACAAGTAACTTGTCCATGGGGTGGTTAGTCTGTTCTACTACAGAGGCTGACCTCTTCACCTCTTCTAACGGATGACCATTCTCCTCTCTGACCATTAGAACCAGGAATTTCTTTTACTTAAAGGCAGCAAAAATGCACTTCCACCTGCTATGGGTCCATTTTCGGAGAGCTCCCGTTTGAAGAACTCTGCTGTTTTCTCACACAGATCTGATCCGTGGCTCTCTCCCCGTGTGATCGATACAGGTTCCACGTGGCCGTATCGATCCCAGAGGCGTAACTGTTTCTCATGCACGGCCGTGTGAACCCCTGAATGTCACCCGCATCTAAACGGAGTCCCTGTTCTTGAGCCGAATGGATTTTTATCCGGACGACTTAAAACTTTCGGTAGATTTCTCGCTCAATCACCAGATTTCTTTACCATTGTTTTTTTTAAATTTTTTAAATTCAATTCAATTTTATTTATATAGCGCCACATCACAACAACAGTTGTCTCACAGCGCTTTCCAAACAGAGCAGGTCAGACCCTACTCTGAAGTTAATTACAGAAACCCGACAATTCCCACCATGAGCAAGCACTAGGCGACACAGGCAAGGAAAAACTTCCTTTTAACAGGCAGAAACCTCGAGCAGAACCATGGCTCAGGGTGGGCGGCCATCTGCCTCGGCCGGTTGGGGGTGAGAGAGAGAGGGCAAGAGAGAGAGAGAGAGAGGGCGAGAGAAGGACAGAGGGAGCAGAGACAGGAACATGTTTAAATGTATTTGTTTATTTGACAGGGACAGTACAATTAAACATTGCAACCAAACAGGTGGCCGATGTCCGAGTACATAAGGCTTGTAGCCAATGGCTAATTTGCAGCCTTCGTCCCTGGTTAGGCTTTTAAAAGGTGTTAGCATTAAGGGGGAGGGAGGTTAGTAACGACACACAGATGCATAAGAAACTTTGAGTTCCATCATAACTAATTGACCACTCTCGAACACTTTTTTGGAAAGACTAAGCCTGTCATCCAAGTTCATCCCATGCCCCAATGAGGAGTCTTCTCAAGAGGAAATTGTTTGCTTATAACTTTTCCCATCTTTTTTATACGTATACAGGAAATGATTGATGTGGACTAGTGTTGGTTACATACGTACATAAATGAGAGGTTCATTTTAATATCTCCTCACATTGCGTACTGCCCCCACGAGCCTCCGGAGGAAAGAGGAAGAGGACTAGAATAAAAATGAAATAAAAGGTGTGTCAGAGAGGAACAAGATCCCGAAGTTGATATTTGGTGTATAGGAAGAAGGATGTTTTCGAATATCTTTGAATGACATGGAGGGGAAAAAATGCAAAAGTTTTGACTTTGCATTCCACTTTGTACCAAAATGATTTACCCAGAGTCAATCAAAATGAGAACAAGGGTGAAATATAATGGAGTGGGACTCATCTCCAGAGGCTATTTGAGTAAACTGTCATTATCGACCGAGTCCCAACCCTAACCCCAAGTCAAACAAGTCAAACCACCAGCGTCTTTGCCGACTTCTTTTGGGACGATGTCTATTGGTTTTTGATGGAACATGTTTGATCCGAAACACGGAAGGTTTCATTTAAATGTGTAAAACAAGCTCTGAAATGTACTTCCTGAAAGGCTCGTACAACCTGACTGACTGCTGTTGGATCAAAAACAAACCCATTTCTCCATCTTTTTAATGACATTTTTTTTTTTTTTTTTTTTTTAGATTTTTTTGGCTCTAGTGGCCTTTAATGACAGTAGCTTGACAAGAAAGGGGGCAGAGATAGAGAAGGGGGATACCTGCGGGAAAGGGCCATGGGCTGGAATCGAACCCAGTGGAGGCTCCGCATATGGGCCGCCCGCTCTAGCCATTAGGCTACGCTGCGGCTCTTAATTACATGTTTTAAATTATTTTTTTTACTTTCTGTTTTTCCAGAAGCATCCCTGGGGGCACACGCACGCAGGCAGAATCACGCGCAGTCCCCGGCAGGCCAGGATGCAGGAGTCGGAGCCCACCGTGTGCCAGCTGCAGCCCAACATCATCTCGGTGCGCCTCTTCAAGAGGAAGGTGGGCGGCCTGGGCTTCCTGGTGAAGCAGCGCGTGTCCAGGCCGCCGGTCATCGTGTCGGACCTGATCCGGGGCGGGGCCGCGGAGGAGTGCGGCCTGGTGCAGGTGGGCGACATCGTGCTGGCCGTCAACAACAAGCCCCTGGTGGAGCTCTCCTACGAGCGCGCCCTGGAGACGCTGAAGAACGTGTGCCCCGAGAGCCACGCCGTGCTCATCCTCCGCGGGCCCGAGGGCTTCACCACCCACCTGGAGACCACTCTGTCGGGGGACGGGCGCCAGCGCACCGTGAGGGTCACGCGTCCGGCCGCCTTCCCCCAGAAGTCCTGCGACCCGTGGTCCCCGCTCACCGCCCACAGCCCCGGACAACAGCATCAGATCAACAGGGAGCCCCAGCTCAGGGCCATCGAGAACCTGTCCTCGCCCTCCATCACCCAGGCCGCGCTCCTCCTGCAGCGGGGGGGCGGCCCGGGCCAGGCCCCCCCGCTCTGCAACGGCCTGGAGGAGGAGAACAACGAGCTGCTGAAGGAGATCGAGCCCGTGCTGCGACTCATCAGGAGCAGCAAGAGGGAGATCAACGGCGAGGGCCAGAGGAACGCCGGGAGGCGGGACGCCGAGATCCAAGTGGCATGGTAACGTAGGACGTCACGTTCAGTGTTGGGGAGTAACGGATTACATGCAACGACGTTACGTAATTTAATCACAAAAAAAGAGTAACTGTAATTCGTTACAGTGAGAAAATATGTGTTTGAGTTACAGTTGCTTCCGAAAATATTAAGAATTACAAATTTAGTTACATTTTTTTTTTTAAATGTAAAGAAAAACCTTTGCAAAATATGCAACTCACTGATAGACGAAGCGTATTGATTTACTAATATTTGATTTATTAATAGTTGATGCATGACAAACGTTTATCCATGTCTATGACCTAGCCTAGCCTAGCCTACCTAGCCCACCCAACTGTAGGTGACCAGACGCCCTCCTTTTACCGGACATGTCCTACATTTCAGACTAGGGTTGTCAAAAGTATCGATACTTTAAAAAGTATAGATACTAAAATGTTGTATCCGGATACGACTGACCTGCCGTCGCTGCGCCCCTTGTCTCCGATTTATTTATTTATTTATTTACGTTGTTTATGATCATTAACAAGAGGTTAGCCTTGAACTGCTAGCTGCGGCTAATAGCTAATAATAACATGCTAAAATTAATCATGGGTTAATACTCATTAAAACCTTAAAGTAATCAAAAAGTAATCAAAAGTAATTAGTTACATTACTTTTTAAAAGTAATCGAAAAAGTTACACTACAATTACATTTTAAACAAGGTAACTTGTAACTGTAACGGATTACATTTTTAAAGTAACTTACCCAACACTGGTCATGTTCCGGTATCGATCCCTCCGTTTGGACGTCTTCGTCCTCACTTCCTTCCACAGAAGGGGCTGTAATTCAGTGTTTTTCAACCTTTTTTGAGCCAAGGTACATTTTTTTCATTGAAATAATCACGAGGCACACCACCAACCAAAAATGTCAAACAAATCTGTAGCCGCCTATAGTGACACTATAGTTATTCTTATCTTATCTTAAGTGTCTTGAATAGGAATCAAATAAACACAAAATTTTATTTTTATCATATTTTATATTTCTTAACATGTCCACTTCAATATACAAAATTAGATACAAAATCTAGTCATAAGGAATTATTACATGATTACGCCACCAGTCACTAGAACAGCACATACACTCAAAAATTATTTGCAGATAATTAATTAATTAATGTCATGTTCCGGTATCGATCCCTCCGTTTAGCCGTCTTCGTCCTCGCTTCCTTCCACAGCAGGTGCTGTAATGGATGGAATAAGCAGAGATGTTTAAAGTACTGGAGTAGAGGAGTGGAGTACAAGTACAAGTACTACATAAAAAAAATTACTTGAGTAAAAGTAGAAGTATTCTTTCAACACCATACTTAAGTGGAAGTACGGAAGTACTAAATTTTTTTTGTACTTAAGTATTGCAAGTAGAAGTATTTAAAAAATTGCTACTCAAGTATCGAAAGTACAAGTATAAGTAAAAGTACAAGTACTGTGTATATTAAAAAAAGGCTGTCAAAAATGTAATGGATATTATTTATATTATTTTAAACGTGTGAAAAGCCATACAGGTGTTTACAAAAAACAGAAAGCTACATCTGCATTAGCAATCAACAGCACTTCATCTACTATTATTTATTATTCCAGAGTCAGAATCCTGAGCTGAGCCTTTATGCTAGCATGTAGCATACAGCTAGCCAGCTAGGTTAGCTTTAGCTAATGTTATCATACAGCTAGCCAGCTAGGTTAGCTTTAGCTAACGTTATCATACAGCTTGCCAGCTAGGTTAGCTTTAGCTAACGTTAGCTGCTACGTCCTGAATGAACAGGGAGAACTGAACTAGCGCTTATTTACTAGCTTGTATGTCATTGTATGTTTTAATTTACCTTGATATGTTTCTTCAGATTAGAGCTATCTATCATTACGTTCACATTTCAGTAACCAGTAACGATTCAGCCCGTGAAAAATCCATCGGAGTAAAAGTATTGAAATAATCAAAAATATAGTGGAGTAAAAGTAAAAGTAGGGGGAAAATATCTACTCCAATAAAGTACAGATACTGAATTTTGGTACTTAAGTACAGTACTTAAGTAGTTCTTCTTCGTTACTGAACATCTCTGGGAATAAGGACCTTCTGAGTCCTGTGACTATAAGTTCTAATTCCATGTTTTCACTTTGCCACCCTGCTGTGTCTCAGCAACCCGACAGATCTTTGTTACATTAGCTATTAGAAATAAGCAGCCATTTCCATGGCTCAATGCGTGGCTGTAAGTAATTAGTGTCTGCACGCTGAGCTCTTAAAAACCTCACCTAAAAACGGAATTACTAAAATCTGTCGGCTGTTTTTCATGAAATGACAAACGCAGCTATGGAGGCCCGGCTGAACGTCTTTATACCCGTTCTTTAGCTGAATTTTTTTAAGAAACTGCTTGTTAAATTTGAGATGTAAAAGAAAAAAGAGAAGAGAAAAAGAATCTGATCATTTCCATGTTTCGGAACGTCATTTTCAATCTGCATTTATCCGGACAGACTTCACCACAAGCTGGTTATACGCAATTACAAGCCTGTGCTTTTAAGCAGGGGGTGTTGGTCCTTATGATAAAGTGACATCGCGGAACCCAATTAGCAAACCGCAACTGAAAGCATGTCAAATGATGAGATATCCAAACTTCTTTCGGGCGGCTCATCTTTCATGTGAAGGTCAGGCCGTCGTGTCTCAGAAACACAGTAATGAAGCGGAAAAGCTGGGAGCCATGTTGAATATTCCAAAGGCCTCGCTTTTTCTGAAAGATTCAACCTAACGACTCATAAATACTACAGTGTGAATGCTTTTCCAGTTCAGGTATTTATCTCCGGTTTGGTCTAAAAGGCCCGGGCGGTGTCCTGCTGTTATTGGCGTCTCCGTTATCCGAAAATCGAAAACTAAACGGTCATTGTACTCCCGCGACCATTTTGAAATCAAATTGAGGGCTACAGTCTGTTTGGATCAATATCTTATTCTTGACCACACCATGCACATCTCTGTCTTTTTCATAAACAGTTCCTCCTTCATTTCTCTGGATAGACATACCTTTTTTTTTTTATAAAGCATGAAAAGTCTTCCAAAGTTTTCCAGAATCGGATCTTATTTCTTAATATTTGAATGCAGAGATGATTAAAAATGCAAAGTGAGATGTAGGACAGGTAAAGGAAAGCAGGTTGTTTTTTTTACCTTGCCAGTCAGTTTGATAGATGAGCAATTATGCGGTATTGAAAATGATCCAAGAGAATTTCGCCCTTTATTTGGAAGTTGCCCTTAGGGGGGAAGAGAGATTCTGAGATAAAAGTATCTTGGTTGTTGTTGCTAATTATATTTGGGTTGAGAAGTCTCTGAGTTGAATTGTCTATGAAATTTACAACTAAAACATTTGTCTTGTTTTTTCTGTTTTTGGCGAGTCAGATGTTGGGAACTCAAAGTTTTCGGTGATCATGGCAAAGGTTAACAGCAAATGCAAATGCCTTTACAGACTGAAAAATCTGAATTGATCCCACAGCAATGCTTTGTATTCATTAAGATTACGTTTTTTTCCTTGTGTGCCTCCTATCAGAACTTATGGAAGTCAGCCGGGGATTTATATGTTTTAAACCTTTTGAGTGTTTAGCTGCTTTTCTAAACTTCTTAGTTTTTAAGAAACATGGAATCATAGCACGGCAGTTGTAATACGACTACTTAGCAAAATAGGACTATATTCACTTATTTTCTATCTAATAGCATTATGAGGGCAAACAATAGGACCCATTAACTATGTTCCTTAGGTTCTCAGAAAAAGAAAACACTTACAGGCCCTTGTTTTTAGAATTGTTGTGTGAATTTGCAACTGTGGGTCTTACGGATATTTAAAGAAAGAAGACAGAAAAAGGCCAATACTTTGTATATTGAAGTATATTAAAGTAACTGACAAAAATACTTTAGTTAAAGGATTCAAGCGTGCATTCTGCATTCTGTTAATTGTTTAAATTGTAAAGCTTAAAAAAACAGATCTGTGATGCAATTCGCAACGAGATGGTGCACCACTGGTCGAAGGAAGGACCTGCTGATATTTGGTTAGCAATGTCTGGGCTCTGGGTGACTTAGTTTCTGGAAATGTGTCACCGACTATGCTCCTGCGAGCTGCAGCAATAAAGACATGAGAAATCAACGTGAGAAGGGGAAAGGATGCGGGCGAGGATTTACTATAAGCGTGGAGCACGTGCTCGCACGGGTGGGGGGCTGAGTGTGAAAGATGGTGGGAGGTTAAAATGTGCGTGGGGGTTTAAAACTTCCACACGGAGATAGACGTGTGTTCTCTATTTGCCCCGTTTCTTATGTAGTTTGTTTTGGACATTAGCATGGAGCCTTTATCATTTAGTCTGCCTGTCACCTCCATAAGTTCTCTTTTAACACAACTTGATTGTACGTGTTTTTTTGGGGGAAATCTTGTAAATCTGGGACTTGAGAAAAGACAATGGCCGAGTCTGAATCTCACCCTGTGCGAAGATTGCGAAATGCGCGTTTACTTTCTGATTCGTGCAGATAATCGTGGTTTTAAACCGCCGTTAGGGAGACGCATGGCACCCGATGAGAGTTCTGACACCTGACGGAAAATTTGTTGTTGACTTCCAGGGACCTGAGTGTGGGAAATGGCACACCTGGCCAGCATCCTGATAAAATGCAGGAGAACCTGCCGATGGTGCACAACAACAATGACGATGACAAGGTAAGCTAAAGAGACGATCAAAAGGCCATTTGTGAGACTACAGGACTGTCTCAGAAAAATTAGAATATTGTGATAAAGTTCTTTATTTTCTGTAATGCAATTAAAAATCATGAAATCTCAAAAATCCGATATTCTAATATTTTGAGATAGGATATTTGGGTTTCTTGAGCTGTAAGCCATAATCAGCGATATTAAAACAATAAAAGGCTTGCGATATTTCAGTTGATTTGCAATGAATCCAGAATGTATGACATTTCATGATTTTTAATTGCATTACAGAAAATAAAGAACTTTATCACAATATTCAAATTTTCTGAGGCAGTCCTGTAAATCTAAATGTCACGGCTGTCTTTAACTTCCTTTAACTTACTGTCAGAGCAGTAAGTTATAGACGCTTTACTTTTCTATTTGTGTAAATCTGCAGCTGTACAATACTCGAGAACACATGTCGGCCTTCTATTAAGCTTTGTTCGAAAATTGAAAACTATATTCTCATTCCAAGCTTTTTTTTCCCGTATTCTTTTAAATCTAGCATGCTTATCCATGTTCTAGCTTTCCCACACGGCCGTAAAGTCTTTGCTTAAGATCCTATCGCCTCGCCATTAGATCCTTCCGGCTTCGGGCGTTTAAATCCGGCTTACGCCTCCCGGGCTAAAGGGGTCTGGCCCCAGGTCTGAGGGTCTTTAACATGGACGGTGTCGTAATCCGCACATGTAGGTCTAACGCATCCGCTTCTGACACCGCTCAAAGCTGCTCATCGACAGGGCCGGATGGAGTAAAAAAAGGATTGAATGCACGCAGCTGCTTATCTGCTTTGCTCCATTAACTGTGGCCGTTATTCCAGCCTCTCAGACCCTGAGAATAATAAGCGAGTGCCTCTCTGGATATTTTTGAGCGTGCGTTTGTGTGAGTTGATAAGAAAGGAAGCAAGAGGAGAATTGTATCTCCTCTCTCCCCTTCTGTTTTTTTTTATAGTATGAGCCTCAATATGAGACTTGGATTTGCTGTGCACCCAGGGGACTCGTGTTCTCTGACTCGTGTCATAAGAAAATACCCGAGTTGTGTTTTCATAAAGGCTGATCCACACTCTGATGGCTTATAGGTAGGCTTTAATTGGATAAACATGTCAAATGCCAACCTAGTCGGGTAAAAAAAAAAAATCAGATGTGTGTATATATATATCTCTATACAGTATACATATACATTATGTATGTATGTGTATATATATATATATATATAGCCCCCCCACTGGCCCCCGGTAGCTCCGTACCGTTGTTCGTCCGTTGCAGCGATACGTCAACGAGTCCGCCATCTTGGATGTGGCAGAACTGCCCGTAAACTAATAAAAGAAAACGGACTGAACTCCATAAAGCGCCTTTCTACAAAGTGCTTGAAGTTAATGCACCTTATTCACCCATTCACACACACACTAATATATCTGGGAAATAAACAGGCACAAAAAAAAAAAACGTACGTAACTTTTAAAGTGATGATTATACACTTTTACTTATGATGTTTAGGATATAAGGAAGCACCAAACCAGCGTCTGTACTTTTAATGCTGAGTGTTTTCAGCTACTAAAGCCTGTAACTCTGTTACTGTAATATAAATACTGAAATATTTAAATTTAACATGTAATCTGTTTCCATAATGGCCAGATCCTGAAAAGTAGAAGTGGTTTTCTGGATAAAGAGCACAAACATTTACATTTTTAAATTCACAATTATAATATAATGTATATATATATATATATATATATATATATATATATATATATATATAT